GTTCACATACAGTAATAACATTCATCGGGTATAGAGCAGATGGGAGGGGGAGGGGGGATGGATATATTCACACCTAATGGGTGCGGTGCGCACCATCTGGGGGTGGACATGCTTGAAGCTTGACTTGGGTGGGACAAAGGCAATATATGTAACCTAAACATTAGTACCCCTGTAATATGCTGAAATAAAAAACAAGTTAAAAAAAGAAATAGATACTTAATTACATGAATTTTTTTTGCAAAAATATCTCCAAATACCATATTGTCATTTTGATCCAGTATTACAACCATATCTCAGGATAAAAATCGAGAAACAAACATTTAAAAAAAAAGTGTGCCCAGCAATAAAGAAATCAGCAAACAGACTTGTCTATCCTGGCCTGGGTTCTAGATGGAGAGGGAAAAATTGTACTTGAGAATTTACAAATTTAGGGTTGTTATGCAAATCTTGGATTTGAATTTATGCTAATTACATGATCTATGTAATCTCAGTTAAAAAATTAATTTTTAGTGGTTCTGGATGGTAGCACCCCAGACACCTGGCAGAAGAAAACACAAAATCTCTCTGGAAGCACATCTTCGATCCAGACATCATAGGATTTCCACAGGTAAAGAAAGCCAACCAAATACGAACTTACAATCCAAAATTTAAAGAATGCAAGAAAATGGACTAGTAGGAAGGAGTCAGCAGGGAAAAAAACAAAACCAAAAAAAACCCACCCAAAACAGCAGAAAGCAAAACACAACATAATCAGATCCTGGGGGGATGTCAGATAATTAGATTTTATATTCTTTATTTGATAAGTATAGTTAAGATTAAAGATATAAAAAAGGAAATCTAAAATATAAACAAGTATAAGATGTTACCAAAAAACTCAAACTTGAAAACAAACAGAACTTCTAAAAATGAGAATTATCAAAATTAAATAGCTAACGGGTAGGTTAAAAAGCAGATGTGAAAGAACTGCTACAAAAAGAATTAAGAACTAGAATAAAGATCTTAAGAAATTACACAGATGCTATACAGAGAGACATACAGAAAATATGGAATGAGCCAAGACATGGAATAATTGTGTAGAATTAAAAAACAGAAAGTCCTTTAAAAATTCAGAATTGATTATAATTAAAAGCTAAAACCATGAGATTTAAGTTCTTAAGGGAAACTTTCTACTATGTCATTATATAGAAAAGTACTCTGTTACATTTCTCACTGTAACTATTCCCAACTTTTTCAACTAGAGCTCCTCCTATAGTATAGCTCCTCCACTCTATTAGATAACATTCTCTGCCACTTTACTAAGAAATTCAAAGCTGCCTGTATATGCTCATCTACCCTAGGTTAATAGTAACAGCGTTGCTCCAATAATTGAACCCCTTGTGTCTCTCTACACTGACAGCCTCATCTGCCTCCTACACATGTGCCCAGTTCTGTTTCATCCTAAACTATCCTTCCCTCAACTCTGTTCCTCCTTTTTATGTTAAGGCCTTCTTCGTTTCCAGTTCTGAATTATGCATAATCCATAATCACAAAAGGGTGAAAACTATAGCTTCGTTTACTTCCTATGCTCTTTCTTCCAACATGTCACTGGAAATTTGCTCAGTTTAGGCATGATCACAGGCAAAGGCAAAGACTGGGTATAATTAATTTTCCTTATGTAGCACCATGAGCAAGTAGACACTGAATAAATATTTCAAAATATTTAAAGTCTATTTTTACATGCCTATCATTGCTCTCTTATATTTGTAAGGGTTAGAAAATTGTGACAATTTAATCTATGTTCAAGTCTGAGAGCCTCTTACCCTTTTTCAGCTTCCGGACAGCCAACATACAATGACTAGGAGACAGATCCCATATTCTTAAGGTTTTATCATCACTTACAGTAGCACAGATGGGCAGATAAGGATGTGTAGCCAAACCCCACACCTCTCCTTCCATGTGTCCCTATAAAGAAAACATAACCAAGATCAATTTAACCTAAAGATATATATATATACATACACACACATACATACATACATAGTATACTTTATTTAGAATAAAACTAAAGACAACATTCGATAATATATGATAATGAATAGAATAATGAATAAGTCTAATAAAACTTTTGTTTATCTTTGGAATACACCATAAAGTATCTTTGTAACAACTTTATTTTCACAATTACAATATAAGCAAGTTAGCATTAAAATTAATTTATAATCCTAAAACATCCTCTGGGTTGAGAGGATAGGAAGTAGCTGCTCTAGAATGTTAATAATTGCTACACAGTAGGGACTTCCCATATGATAAAGTGAGAAGCTCCACAGACCAGCTCACCAGCGAAACTAGAAAAAATTTAAAACAAAACAAAACAAAACCATTTAAAGTCTCTGGAAATAGTTCCAAGGAGATACAACAAATGAAGGAAAATTTATTCAAGAAAATATGCTAAATCTGGTAAGAAGATTAAGAGTTTGTGGTATCTAAACTAAGATCCAGACTGGGTGTGGTGGCTCATGGCTGTAATCGTAGCACTTTGGGAGGTGGGAGGATCGCTTAAGGCCAGGAGTTCAAGACCAGCCTGACCTCATAGCAAGACCCCATCTCTACAAAAAATTAAAAATTAGCCAGCAATCCCAACTACACAAGAGAATTGTTTGAGCCCAGTAGTTTGACGTTGCAGTGAGCTATGATGGTGCCACTGCACTCTAGCTCAGGTGACAGTGCTAGACCCTGTCTCAAAAAAAAAGAATAATAAATAAAATAAACTGAGATCTAATCACTTTTTCCCTCCTCATCTAGATGGAACCTCCAGGCCAGACTGATGCAACTAAGAATAACCAGTCTCTCTCTGCCCTCCACCTCCCAGGAGGCCTATCTTCCCAGGAGGGGCAGGATGTCAGCATTTCTCATCCTGCCCCCAGCTGTGTGTTGCTGAGGCTAAATTCTTGGTGAGCTCAGCTGATAGGTGGGAGATCCCTTCTTCTGCCCAGCTTCTCCTCCAGCTGGAGGCTCTACCTTGGGTGCAGTGCCACTGAGAATAACAGGGCCCTGGTGGCAACTCAGGAACACCTGAGCCTACTGTCCTCTTTTTCCTTACCAAGCCTGGGACACTCAGGGAGAAGCAGTCCATTGGCCTCACTGTCAACTCCAGAGCCCTGGCTCAGAGATTTTGCCTGGAGTAAGAGGAAAGCCAGAAAAACAGATAGCTCCTAAAATCTCTTCTCAAAGGAACTGACTTCATTTACAGCAGAGTGTGGAAATGCTCATGCCTAAGGGTATTCTCAGAAATAGTGGAGGCTGTGATAAAAGGCAAGTGGGAGGAGATTGGTAGACTCATTGGACATATAGGCTTAACTGCAGACCAGCTAGTTTTTCCAAGAGAACCAAGGAAATCTCAGAGATAGCTGGAAGGAGCCCACTTGGAATCAGAACAAACTTCAATTCTGAGGGAACTTTCCCTTCAAAGGAGCCAGAATTTGATTGGTTTAGTCTGTGGAGCAATTTATACCCCAGGAAAGGTTGAAAACAGTAAAGCAACTGGCCAGCAATTAAAGGAGTTTAACAGCTGGGTATAGTCGGGGAAAGAGATAAAGAGGAGGGAACACTTCTGAAGCCAATATTACCCTGATACCCAAACCAGACAAAGACATCACAAGAAAACTACAGATCAATATCCCTTATAAATATGGATGCTAAAATCCTCAACAAAATACTAGCAAACCAAATCCAATACATATAGAAAGAATTGTACACCATAACCAAGTGGGATTTATCCCAGGAATGCAAGGTTGACATATAACATTCAAAAATCAATTAATGCAGTACACTGTACCAATAGCATGAAAAACAAAAACAAAAACTACAGGATCATCTCAATATACACAGAAAGAGCATATAACAAATCCCTCCCCACCTATGATGAAAACACTCAAAAAACTTGGAATAAAAGGGTAATTCCTCAATCTAGTAAAGGGGGTCTATGAAAAACCCACAGTTAATATTACACATAATGGTGGAAGACTAGATGCTTTCCCTCTAAGATTAGGAACAAGACAAGGATGTCTATTCTCACCACTTATATTCAATATTGTATTGAACGTTCTAGCCAGCATAATTGGACAGGAAAAAGAAATAACATGCATCCAGATTGTACAGGAAGAAGTAAAACTATCTCTATTTACAGACAACATGATCTTATATAGAGACAATCCTAAAGAATCCACCATAAAACTGTTAGAACCAATAAATGAGGTCAGCAAGTTTACAAGATATAAAGTCAATGTACAAAACCAATTATATTTCTATACACTAGCAATGAACAACATAGCAGCAAAATTAAGAAAACAATTCTATTTACAATAGCATCAAAAAGAATAAAATAGCTAAAAATAAATTTAACAAACTAAGTGTAAGACTTGTACATTGTTGAAAAAAGTTAAAGAAGATCTAAATAAATGGAGAGCTAGCCCATGTTCATGGATCAGAAGATTCACTGTTGTTAGGATCCACTACTCCCAAAACTGATCCATAGAATATTACTGCTACAAATATTGTTGTACATATTTTTGAGTAAATACATGAAAACACCCCTGTTAGGTATATACATTCCCATACTTTTAATTACTATAGTTCTATAAAATTTTATTTCTAGCATGGAGAATTTCTCAAATTTCTTGACTATTCTTGAATATTTTCTCAAATGGATGATTTTTAAAAAAGATTCCCAGAATTTGTAAAAAATTTCATTAAGATTTGGATTGTGATCATATTCAGTTGACAAGTTACTTAGTTCTTTTATGTCTTTAGTAAAATCTTACAGTTTTCTTAACAAAGGTCTTCCATATTTTTAGCTATATTTATTCTTGGTTATTGTATAGTTTTTTTGGTGAAAACCATTTTCGATGTCATATTTTCTAACTGGTTATTGCTAGCATATAGAAATACTATTGATTTTTATGTGTTGATTTTGTATCTAGTCACTTTACAGGACTCCTTAACCAGTTCTAATAATTTTCCAGTTTGTTCTCTTGATATTCAAGGTATAGGATTATAATATCTGAAAATACCAACGCTGTTGTCCATTTCTTTCAAATATATACACATTTTATTGTTTTGTTTTACTGGATTGGCTAAAGCCTCACACACAATGTTTGACAATAATAGTTAAATCTGGTATTCTTGTCTTGTTCCTGATGTCAAGGAGATAATAAGACATTAGAAGTCTTAAACTTTATAACAACTAGCAAAAATGGTATGTCAACAATTTTTAACTGGGAGGCCATTAGGCTGAAAGAGCCCCAGCACTTTTGGTTCCTATGTAAGCAAACCAAAGCCCAATGTAAATAGTAAAATGAAACTAGAGACTTTACTAATCATAAATTGCCAACTAACCTCTATAAGGTCTTTCTACTCTAACCAACTAAATATATTTTCTTTGTCTCACTTCCATGTTCAGCCTATAAAAGCTTGCTGCCCATGCTGCTGCAGCAGATCTCTTCCAGTTCTGAGTGCTGCCTGATTCATGAATCCTTTAATGCTCAAATAAACTCAGTTAAATTTATTTTGTCTAAAGTTTTTCTCTTAACAGATATCACTTATAACTTCTAATTTTTTCACAATTATAAAACTGTTTGCATGTTTTAATCATTTCATCTATGGATTCATCTGTAAAAATGTACTTATGTTAATATTTTCCCAGAGATCATAAACATGTTTAACACCATGACTCTATCATCTTTTTCTTTCAAAGGCATAGTAACTGAATTTAAAGAGTAAGACACCAGTTAATCGAATACGAACATTTTGTCATCTGCTTACAAATTCTTGTATGTCAAAATACATATTAACATTAAAGCATGTGCACGGTTTTCATCACCAGTGCACTTGCTGGTGTCCTAACAGGAGCAAAGTGGGGGCTGAAGGAGAAAAAAGTTTGTATTAAGAAAGAAAATAATTCTTTTGGGGGGTAAAAGGCAAGCCAAAGTTTGGTGTTAATATATATAGTTGCATGAGGACAATTTCCCATCAGGATAGAATGATGATGATAGAATAGTAAAACTTCCTTTACTGTTTTATGATATTGATTTATTTCCCTTCCGGCTTTTCAGAAAAACATAATACATAGAAGAAATGTACATCTAAAAATCTAATCCACCATTCCTGATGGAAATGTTAAGGATCATATGACCACCAGTTATTCCTGTGGTTTAATTTTATATTTCTGCCACACAAATTTTTAAATTTGAGTTTTTGGTTTATTACTAACATTTTTTTACTGATAAATTTATTCAGTAATAAAATTTTAACATATATTCATACATTCATTTTTTATTTTTCTAAGTTAGAATCTTAAGAAGGAATGACTGAAGAATTTCAGAGAAAAATAACTGCCTTAGGCTCAACAAATATATTCCAAAGAAATAAAATTACAAATGGAATAAATGGACGAGGTTAAGTCACAGTATGGTTTTTTTCCCATTAGTCTCTTATTTTGTGACAAGAAATTACTTAAAATAGTGGCAATTATTCCATATGAGAATATGCATATTTATTTACTGATATCAAGACATTTAGCTATAACTAAATTAAATTTTTTCTGTATATATTAACATTAACACATTTTTCCCCAATTAATTTAACATTATTTTTCACCACTGTCGATTTTTGCCTTTTATATATTGAAAGAATCAATTGTACGTAAAGGAAAAAAACATATTAGCATTTAAAATTACCTGAACCAGAAGTGTTATTGGGCCACTTTTATCCACTTCTAGTATTTCACCATTCTTTGTGCCAACTAAGATATGACCATGTCCTAATGATATGGCACGTATGGATGGATTATCTTCCAAGAGAAGACCTGAAACATTAAATGGAGATATTCTTCTAGGTATGAAGTTACTATAATACAAGGATGTATCTGTTGCCAATTATGCTACTCTGATAGTGAAAACCACATTACAAGGTAACTTTCTTCTATAGTTTAAGTATTCTAACAAATGTACTGTATTTCCTCCAATCATTCAATTTACTAATCTCAAAATAAGTACCACCTACATACTACAATTCTATGGTTCCTACCATTCTGACAACTATTTCTTTAACCTCTTATATCAGCCCCTCCACATCCAAATCCTGTACCTCTTAGAGTACTTACAATTCCTGATTAATAATTTTAATTCAATTTAACTTAAGATATACAGTTGTCCCTTGGTATCTGCAGGGGATAGATTCCAGGACCCGTCACAGATATCAAAATCGTTGGATGCTCAAGTCTCTTATATAAAATGGCACAGTATTTGCATATAACCTATGCACCTTCTCCTATATAGTTTAAATCACCCCTAGATTATTTATAATATTGAGTATGATATACATTTTATGTAAATAATAGTTATATTGTATTTCTAAATTCGTATTATTTTTTATAGTTGTATTGTTACTTTTTTTCTTGAATATTTTTGATCTGTGGTTCATTGAATCTGAGGGTGTAGAACCCACAGATACAGAGGGCTGCCGTATATGTTTATGTCTACATGTCCTAGGCAGGCTTCAGCAATATATTAGTAAACATGATAGACCCAACTCCTGCCTTCACAGAGTATACAATGTAGAAAAGAGACCATGTGAGGACGAGCATATAGCAAGGAAATTTAGCCTTTTTATGGGGAGGTGAGATGGGAGGGATCATCCTAGAAGAAACAGTGTTTGAGATTTGAAAAATGAGTATGTGGTCAGGTAACTGGAGGCAGTAAGAGGGAAGAGAAAGGGAAAATTCTAGGAAAAAGTAATATCATGTAGAAATGCCTGGAAGTCAGAGGGAACGTGGTACTGGGCCTTAAAGGAAGAAATGCATTCAAAGAAAGGGCAAAGGGAAGAAGGGCCTGAGAGCGTAGAGAGGCAGGGTCAACAAAATGCCAAGGTGAAACAAAACGTCAAGATTGGAAACAGGTTCCTGACTGATAATAAATGTGATGCTCATGTGGAAATTTTCTTTGGAAAATTAAAAATGTTAAAAATTAGCATTGATAATCCTGTACTTGGCTAATATTTTATCATGTGTATCACAGAAAATAAATTTTTGAAAGGATAGTAATGATTCAGGTATCCAGTTAAGTGACCTCTCCCATTTAACTGATACCCATCAAGTCAAGAAGGAAAAACATATTCCATGTGTTCTGCCTCAGTGATCAAGCATATTAATGAGCAATTAATCTTTTTTCCTGTAAAATAAATTAAATCTCAAATCACCTTTAGATCCTGGGGCCAAAGCAGCTCTTTTTATAGCATAGGTTTTGAGACATCTTTCAAAGGAGTCATCCCAAAGAGCTACCACACCATCTTTTCCTCCAGTTACAAATCCCTATGAAAATAAAAGGTTCAAGTTAATAAAGATCTAAATATTTAAGAAAACAATAACCTCCTTTATATTGAAAAACTGCAGAGGAAAGAACATAGCCAAAAATTATAGCTCGTAAAAAACAGGAATTAGCATTAGAATCCATTGTTGTTGTTGTTTTTTTTATTTTTAATTTTTTAAAGACAGGATCTCACTCTGTCATCCAAGCTGGAGTGCAGTAGCACAATCATAGCTCACTGCAACCTCCAACTCCTGGGCTCGAGCAATCCTCCCACCTGAGCTTCCCAAATGGCTAGGACTACAGATGCACCATCATACTCAGCTGTTTTTTATTTTTTGTAGAGACGGGGTCTTGTTATGTCATCCAGGCCAGCACTGAACTTCTGGACTCAAGTGATTCTCTCACCTCTGCCTCCCAGAGCCCTGGGATTATAAGCATGAGCCATTGTGCCCAGACTCCACTGTTTTTAAAAATATCAACATGGAATCTGTTGATATAATATTTAGAGGGACACTAAATATTTTTAAAGATAGGTCTTTAAAAACACAGTTTCTAACTTGGAACTATAAGTTAGACCTACCACTTTCAGTAAGTTACACATATCCTCCTGGAATCTTCATAACCTCAACATTTAAAAAGAGGAAATAATAATGATATTTACTTGATAGGATATGGTGATTATATATAAACACTTAGAATAATTTTTGACTCATGGTAAGGGCTTCATAAATATTAAGTTAATTTTTTTTTTAAAACCGCAGACCTATTTCATTCTTGGTTGAGGAATTTGAAAAGAGAGGCTAAACAAGGTCAAGGTGATCCTAGCCCACAGACTATTATTGGGTGGTCCAGCCAAGTAGAAAGGCAATGTTCTTTTACTTCTGAAAATGCTCTGTACTCCGTGATCAAATTATGTTTAAATTAACATCTCTTTAGGTTACTTACTTTTTCCAATGCATGCATACTGAACACTGGCCCATCATGTGCTTTAACTGTTTTTACAAGAAAGACATCTCTCCAGATACACACATCTCCTGTGGATGTTCCAGAAAAAGCCATCTCTTCAGTCCATCCGTACACTGCACACATCATTGTGTCATTTTTCCCCAGTGTGCCTACGTAGCCTTTTCTTCCAATCAATCCTCCCCCTGGTTCACAAAAATATTATGAAAAGTACCACTTTCAAAATGTACACAATTCTAAAGAAGCAAAATTTCTCTTCTATTGTTGTTATTTGAATAGAAAGACATGCAACAGTAAGGAGAATTAAAAAGAAAAATGCAGGTGTCTCAATAAGTGATTTGGGCAACATTTTGCCTGGCTGCTTTTTAGGCTATGGCTTTTTGGATAAATAAAGACCTGGACTAAGTCAGTTTTAATTCCCTTCTTCACTCCTTACTATTCTGGATGTGATGCCGATTATTCTCATGTATGCCTTTATACATATCTTATTACATATTTATGAATTTAAGAATATATCATTATTTTCCATTTTCCCATGTTTTAAAATTTTCTATAAATACCATCCTGCATATATTCTTTTACAACTTGCTTTATTCACCAGTGATTTGGCATACAGTTTTATACATGTTGATATTTACCTCTAAAGAACTCATTTTCACAACCATAGCACTTTTGATATTTTTCAAAATTTTTATTATGACATATTTAAGAATACAAAAAGGTATTTCAAAAAATCCCAAATACAAGGCCGGGCGCAGTGGCTCACGCCTGTAATCCTAGCACTCTGGGAGGCCGAGGTGGGTGGATTGTTTGAGCTCAGGAGTTCGAGACCAGCATGAGCAAGAGCGAGACCCCGTTTCTACCAAAAATAGAAAGAAATTAATTGGACAGCTAAAAATATATAGAAAAAATTAGCCGGGCATGGTGGTGCATGCCTGTAGTCCCAGCTACTCGGGAGGCTGAGGCAGAAGGATTGCTTGAGCCCAGGAGTTTGAGGTTGCTGTGAGCTAGGCTGACGCCACGGCACTCTAGCCCAGGCAACAGAGTGAGACTCTGTCTCAAAAAAAAAAAAAAAATCCCAAATACAATGAATGCCTATATATCCACTACCTACAAAAAATATCAAAGTAACTAAAATATCATGCCAATCCCATTTCCCTTCTTCACTCCCTACTATTCTGGACGTGATGCTGATTATTCTCATGTATGCCTTTATACATATCTTATTACATATTTAAGAATTTCTTAAGAATATATTATTTTCCATTTTTCCATGTTTTAAAATTTTCTATAAATACCATCCTGCATATATTCTTTCACAACTTGATTTACCAGTGATTTGGTACAGAGTTTTATACATGTTGCTTTTTACCTCTAAAGAACCCATTTGCATAACCATAAAGCATTCCCTACATAAACATACCATGGTTTATCCATTTTTATTAATGGGCATTTAAGTTGCTTCCAGGTTTTTACTATTGAAAACAATGCTGCTTTAAACATTCTTGAAAGGGCCTCTTCTGTATAAGTGCAAGAGTTTCTCTAGGAATGCCTTGGAGTGGTCATAGGGTAATGTGCAAAAGGAACAACATACAGATAAGAGAGGTATCAACTCTTGCCAAATTGTTCTCCAAAGTTGATATATCGACTTACATTCCCACTAACAGTGAAAAGTTACTTGAATTTTCTAATCAATGTTTCACTTCTTCCTATGTTTACATATTTTTTCTGAAAGGTTTAAATTTACTGAGACTTTGATGTCACACTGCTGGAATTTATAAGTATACTATTTGAAAAAGAGACAATAATTTTTACTTTAAAATGTGAACTTCTTCCACATTCATAATTTACAGTTAAAAATTACTAAAGCAATATAACATTCCATGTTTGCATCATTTTATGGCATATAAAGAATTTCTACAAAATTTTTCATTTTCAGTTTAGAATACAAAACATGTATTCAACAGAAGGAAGGAGTATAGACAACACTTGATTAATCTCATTATTAAATCCTTTTTATAAACCTGACTACTATATAAATGCAGCTAATAAACAGTGATACAATAAATCTTACATTTGTTCAAAATACATCAAGACAATAGTGAATCACTTGTAAAAAAAAAAAAAACAACTTATTTTGTATTATTTTAGATTTCCAGAAAGGATGCAAAGATAACTCATTCAGTTTTCACCAATAAACATCTTGTATTACCACAGACCACTTGTCAAAACTAAGAAACTAACATGTCTAAATCATTACCATTAACTGAACTCCAGAATTCATTCAGATTCCATCGATTTTTTCTCATAATGTCCCTTTTCTGTTCCAGGGTCCAGTCCAGGGTACCACCTTGCACTTAGCTAAATTACTTTCTAAAGTAATAATTTCTTAAATTTCAAAGGAGTAAAAAGCAGCACTTCCTTACCTGCTCTACGCCAAAATTTCATGTGTTTAATTCCAGCTGTAATTAGTTTATCAGGCACATAGGGGTTCATCTTTACAACAAAAATCTTATCTTTACTTCCTCTGAAACAAACACCAATATGTATTAACTCTGAAGGTACTTCTTTGCTGTAATCTTTTGCCTAATCCATACTCTATCTTGGTTACTCCATTCACTAAATATTTGTCTCCCACTTGTCTCTCAGATTTGGGCTGTGTAATCATGCATTTGCACATTTGGTCTTTTGTCATTTTAATATGTTAACTGTTCAATAAAATCTCGAAGATAGGAACAGTAAAAACTGAACTACTTTTCTACAGCACCTATAATACCTACTATAGTACTATGCATAGGGAATGTGATTTGTGGTATGAATGAGGTAAAGAAGTTCTTCTTATAATACTTCGTTATAGCTTAATATAGCCTTCCCAATTATGAAGTTCCTCCTAAACTATCATTTATTTGGGCATTATCTACACGCTCTGTAAAAAGCATTTATCTATATTTTTAAAGTGCTTTAACGTCACTTTAAAGACATGAAAAACTCTGACACTACTGAATATTTCCTCCTTTAAAGCACTGTTAATATTTTTATTCTAAAAATAGAAAACATAGAAAAAGAAAAAATACAAGAAAATAAAAATAACCTATAACTTCTTTGTGATATATATGTGTGTAATGTGTATGTTTTTTCACTTAAAATTTAAGTATTTTATCATGCTCTCCAATGGCTATAAAATAGCCTATCATACAGTAGAATTCACTCTATCTGTACAAGAACATTTTAAATAACAGCTATGTCCAATGCCATATTAGAGTCACATTAAAAAGTAGGTTCAAAGGCTATATCTACAAAGGAACTCTGAAATCATTTGATTATATTATTTATTTATTCAATGGTAATAAATCTGGCAATAAAAAAGTTAATATTTGCTTGATTTCAAAATTGTTTTAATTAAAAAATTTTTAAGTCCAAAATAATTCCAGCATTTTGCTAATGTGATATTAAGTTTCTTCCCTACCTTGCTATTGAAAGTTTCTCTCCTTTCTTCCAGTCCCACAGCACAATAGTGTGGCTATCATCTATCCCAACTGAAGCCAAACGTTTCCCATCCGCTAGGAAAATTGATCAGAGAGATATACTGACCATTAACATTTGGAAGATAAAAAACATTCAATATATATTCTAAACCCACGCAGTATATTTAAAATTTGATAAAATAATGTTAAATGTTAGGTATGCATACTAACATTTACATAACATTTAACATAACAGGCTATAAAAAGACCAGAATTTATAAAGGAGGGGGAATAAAAGTTTCTTAAATCCTCTAAACATATCTGTTGTCATCTCACCTGACATCATTTACCTTATGTATCTATCAGATTGGGATGGGGGAAGGGAAGGAGAGAAGAAAAGCAGAAAAAAGAGATTAAAAAATGAGAAGGAAAAGAAAACAAAGAAAAGAGGGGACTTAAAAGATTTGCTTCAATAAAATTTACCATAAGAACTCTATTGTGATATAAGAACTCTGAGTGATTATTAAAAGTTAATCAAATGAAAAACATGTAAATTATAACAACAGGTTGCTATTAATATGACTGCTTTTAGTGAAGGTCAATTATTTTAGTTATTATCAAGCAACACAATGAATACATTAGACAAATCGTAGAGACAAATGACTAATGAGACATGCTGATGGGTGTGCATGTTTATAGGTTGTAAAGGCTCAGACTAATAGAAAATGTTTTCCACGTTTCCATACTTTTTGCAAATCTAAATAAGTTCCTCACTTCTCCAGTGGTATTTTTCTTGTTGACCCACTTAGTTTGCAATTCATTTTCTTGTTTCTTGACTGTTAGCAAATCCTTGAATATGTATATATGCTTCCCTCCCCCCAGGCTCCACTATGGATAATGTATCACTTCAGTCACGGCAGCACAAAGCACTAATTTACTGTTTCTTAATACATAATTCTCAATTAATGGTATTTTCTCCTTCTTTATCCACACTCTAGCTTTCCGTGTGGATGTATCTGTAGTTGGTAAAGTTTTAAACATAAGGCAAAGTGCTAACATGATCTAAAATTATTTTTAAAAGACAGCTTAAAACTGTCACTTTATAGAAATGTCTAAGACAAGTACTTCAGTTCTCAACTCTTTCTTTTTTAGCCTTTTACCCTAAACATTTTCAAAGTTTACTCTGTGGCTATAAAACATTAAACAAGATCAGCATTTGCCAAAGTGGGAGATATTGTATGTACTACTTGTAGCAACTGAAATGATTTTAGGTGTTATGTAGACAAACATGTTTTATTTTAATAGAAACACTAATTTTAATGGGTATAAAATTATACTCATTTTATTATAAACTAGGCAGCAAATCCACACTTTCATAGTTGTGTTTGATTAAGACATAACTTATGAATACCTGACAAAAATTGTGAAAGTCACAGCAAAATGACAAGTTTAGGTGACACTCATTTAGATTAAGATGCTATGTATTGCCTCTGCATTTTGATCACTCTTACTGAGATAGCAAACAGCCTTACCTGAGAAATCAACAGCACAAACACCATATTGGTGACAGCCCTTTAATATCGACAATGGTTTAATGGTCTCTGTATCCCATATGTGAATTGAGGGATCCCTACCTACCTAAAATAGAAAGAATTATAAAAGTCATTAATACAATTATTTATTTTTATGTCTATTAAAAGGAAATAAAACAAGAGAATTTACAGCCTTTGATTATTTGCTGTAAAAAATATAAAGCAGACTATATATGTGGACTGATGTTTTTTTTCTTACAGTTGCTCAAAAGCTAGTGAGGCTAGGCTCAGGGTATCTAGGAGTGTTCTAGAACTATGTGACACTTATCCCATACTTTATCAATACAGGTAATACACGCTTACTGAGCACCTATTATTGGCAGGGTTTCTGTGCTAGATACAATGAGCACTAAAACATTCAGGTAACTTTTGCAAACTCAATGGGAAAACAGGACATTTTCAATTAAATAAGAACACCTGGTAATATATCCTTAATGAGAATGAAAAGGTTGTGGAGAGACACTTCAGGAAGAAAAGGTACTAAAGCTCGGCCTTCAGAAAGTGCAGGACTTATTCACAAAGAGAAGCAAGCAAGCACATTCTAGATGAGGATAATGGTGTAAACAAAGATTCAGAGGGATTTAAAACATCAAGCATGTAAACAAGACCCTGAAAAGACAATTTTACTGTTGTACACTCTGTCCTTTGTCTTTTAACTTGGTTAATGATGTTCACTAATGCACTATCAATTCTTAGTTATTCTTCTAGACTCAAGTAATCACTTTCTTTAACTATAAGCATAAAGAGATATAGTATCTTTACATATAAAGAAAACTCCTGAAATAATATAGCTGTCAATTATACTTAATTTTGAGATTGATTTAATATAAAGATATAACAAAAACCAACACTGCAACCTGCCAACATCTCACTAAGTTATTCAGAAGTTATTTAGCCAAACATTTCCAGTGACTTCTAAGTTCTCTTTTCATGTAACTTCCATTGAATTTGATACCTTTGATAATTTTACAGTACTACTCTCTCCTGGTTCTCTGGTCTCCTTGACTTACTACTGAGTTTCCTTCACAATTTCACCACCTGTTACTTAAATACAAACCTCCCCCAAGATTCTATCTATCATTCTGTAGTCTTCTCATTGTGCATTTTTGCCCTACAGTATCTCACTTTCACAGTTTCAATGGTTAAATCAACAAACAACCCCCAAATCCTATTCCCTAATCATTCCTTTCCTTCTGAACCCAAGACTTACATTTTCAATTGTCTACTAGACATCTCATCTGGAAATGATGATGATGACGACTAACACTCACTGAGAACTGACTTCTATGCTAGAAACTGTTCTAAGCACCTCACAAAGACTGACTAATTTACCAATCACAACCCTATAAGATAGACACCAACTGTATCCTTACTTTAAAAGATGAGGAAACAGGAGAAAGGTTAGGTAATTTGCTCACAGCTAATAAATGGAGAGTTTGGATGTGAACATCATATTCAGTACTGGCTGAGGTACAGACAGAGTATTATTAAAGCACACTTAGGGGATCTCACTCAGGGATGAAGAGGAGGAGAGAGAGGTTGGGAAAGTTCTCAGATATGTTACTTAGCCTAAGTCTTAAAAGGTAGAGTAGGAATTAGATAAAGTTGGAGGGTTGAATAGGAGTGAAGCGGAAGAGTTTTCCAAGAGAAGTGAACTAACTAAGAGATGTGAAACAGCATTATACATGTTGGACAAATTATAAATATCTCAGAAGGCAAGAACATAGTTTACATGGAGGCAAATAGTAAGAGATAAAAATGAGGTGGATTGGCTACAACAGTGGTTCAGAAATTATGAAGCACTGATTGTCAGCAGAGATATGGAAAAATTAAAAAATAAAACAAAACCAAAGCAAAGAATATTCAAGGTAGGGAATCAAGATATATTCAGATCAAAGAATGGGTGCAACTCCAGGACTGGCTATAGGGGCTGAAGAACAGGAAGGCTGACTCCCAGGCTTAGGTAATCAAGTTAATATGGTACCATATTCTAAGTAGGAAACATACAAGGATAAGCATATTTGGAAGGGAAGATTCATCTCCATTTTAGACATGTGGAATCTGAGCTGCCCATAAGATATCTAAATGAGTATATTTTTAATGAATTTTTAATAAATTACATATACACACAGTAATTTGTCCAACTCTTATACTTCATTGTGAGCAGTGGCAGCCAGTACCTTTACGTTACCCCACAACACTTAATGGTTTTGAATAGGAAGCACTCAACAAATATTTGCTGAATTTAACAAAATTTTGAAATTATGGTTTGGTTAGTCAAGATACTCAAGTTGAAATAAATAAGTTCCCAGGTAAGTTTCTTTCAGGTTCTTTCATCTCCACTTAAGATCACAGTTCCTGGGTCGTTCTTTGTACTCTATTCTCCAAAAAATATAAGACAAAACACTCTTTAGATTTCTCATCTAAATTTCAAAACACTCAAGATGCTTCAGAAGAACTTTTCAGTATGAACAATTTTAACACAATTAATTAATTAACTAATTTCTTGAAACAGAGTCTTGCCCTGTTGCCTGGGCTACAGAGTGCCATGGCGTCAGCCTAGCTCACAGCAATCTCCAACTCCTGGGCTCATACGCTCCTCCTGCCTCAGCCTCCTGAGTAGCTGGGACTACAGGTGTGTACTACCACTCCTGGCTAATTTTTTCTATTTTTAGTAGAGACGGGGTTCTCATTCTTGCTCAGGCTGGTCTCGAACGCGTGAGCACAAGCTACCCTGCCACCTCAGCCTCCCAGAGTGCTAGGATTATAGGCATGAGTCACCTTGCCTGGCCAATTTATTTTAGAAGTCTAAAATTTTATAGAGATGGGACTGGTTGGTTGTAATATAACACAGGAAAGAAGTGAAAAACACTGGGAGAAGTAGAAGAGGCAGCATGAGCTTGTGACTTGGGAGAAAAACTTTGAATGTACAGTGCCTGAAGTGGAAATGCTGTTGTGTAAGCAAAGCCAGAAGCACAGGAGGTATGGCTTATTGGGTATCCAGATATGTCCTGTGGCATACTGACTTTTTATTTAATCTGACCTGAATTCCCTAAAATCCAAGGATCATGGGAGTAAATGGCCACTTTTTACAGTGCCTTCATCCCACTAGTACTAGAATAATGTTCAAATTCCTTGCCACAGCACATGGGTATATAAGTGACTGTGCTTCACGAGGAACCATTCATATAAACTAAAGGTAAATGTTGCCCGGGCCCTCCACCTATACTTTTGATAAGTTCTTCCACTAATGTCCATTGTGCACCCTATTTACACATTGTGGGCTACTCACATTTTTTAAAATAAGCTGTACTTTTTTTTTGCCCCACTTTTACACATGATATAATACACTTAGAAAGCTTTCTTCAACTTCCCCTCTGCCAGCTAAACTACTCAGCTCAAATGTCATCGCCTCTATGAGGGTGTCCCCAATTCTACTGGGCACAATTAATCAGTCCTTCATTACACTGCTACTAGACTTTGTACATACATTAAAAACTAGGGTGATTTTGCCTCCCAGAAGATACCTAGCACTGTCTGGAGACATTTTGGTTGTCACAACTCAGGGGGGTGGGTGTAATTGGCATATAGTGGGTAGAGGCCAGGGATGCTGCTAAACATCCTACAGCACACAGGTCAGCCTCCCACAACAAAGAATTATCTGGCTTAAAACATCAATAGTGCTAAGGTTGAGAAACCCCGATCTATACTTAAAATACTGTATCACAGCTTTTCTTGCATTTATGTCTTCCTCCTCACAATATGACTTTTCACCATGGCAAAAGGATATCTTATTTATCTTTATGTTCCCAGCACATTTCCTGGTACACAGAATGTGCTTGATCAATGTTTTTGGAATAAAGGGAAGAAAGGAGGGAGGGAATGGGAGAGAAGGAGAGAAAGGGAGAAAGAGCAAGGGGAGGCACAAGGAAAGGGAGGAGGGAAGAGAGAAAGAAAAAAGGGAAGAGTTTTCTCTCCTTTCAGGGAAGCTATATAGGATGATGCGAGTCTAACCTAACTTTAAACTCAAACAAATGTCTAACCTATCTGGCTTACTATCACATCGTCTTTCAAAGGAGCCTACCTGGCCTGTTGCCACGTAGTCTTTCAAAGGATGAATAGCCAGGCAGAGAATATCGTCATCATGACCCAGGTAAAAACGCTGTGTGTTCTGTTGTCGATTATAAATGACACCCACTGCAGCCACATGGTACACAATTTCACCAATTTGGGTATAAAACAAATTACTTCGACAGTCATAACCTCTGTAACTAATAGAGCAAACAAATCATATATAATTAATTTTGGCCTTTTATCTGATCAACACAGAATATACAGAGAAGTACCTTTTAGGTTAGTCATTCAATTTCCAGTTTTACAGGATACTGAACAATTAAAGAAAATACTACTATCTCATATCCCATAAACTTTTGTGAACTGTTTTGATTACAAATAGCTAAATCCAAGCTATAATATTGAGTGAAAAAACAAGGTACAGAAATGTATATTACTATTTGCGTAAGTATAATATTCAATTTACATCCTATAAAACAAAACAGTTGCTTCTTGTAAGTAAAAAGGTAGAGAAAAGAAAATATATTTGTATTGGTTTGAACATACAGAAATATTTCTGAAACTAAGTAATAGTTATTAACCTATGGAGGGGGGAAATGATGGCTGGAAGGGCAGAGGTGGGAGGAAGATTTTAAAACTATATGTTTTTATATACATTGTTAAACCATGAGCATATAATATATATTCCAAAAATAAGTTAAACAATAAGTTAAAAATATTATGCTCATCCAGGAAAAAGTAGTCGAATCTTAAAATGGTCAATATAATTCCACTTACAGCAACCTTGCTCTGTGCTTCAAAGAAATCCAATTCATTAAACACAACTGCACAGAAATACTGTTTTAACACTGGAGAAAAAAATACTTTTACTAAATAAATTTTTTTTCAAATTCTTGAAAAATAGTGTCAGTTAGGTAAGAAAATGAGTGTTGGGTGAGAAGTAGGAAAGAGTGGGATTAGAAAATCCGTTCCTGCCAAGCTAAAATGTGAGTCCTGTACTGCCAGATGTTCTAAGAGAATCCAGAAACTATATTTTACTGAAATTAAAATAAGAAGGCCAGGCCCAGTGAGGCGGCTCATGTCTGTAACCCCAGCACTTTGGGAGACTGAGGTGGGAGAATCGTTTGAGGTCAGGAGTTCGAGACCAGCCTGAGCAAAAAATAGAAAAATTATCTGGGCGTGGCGGTACGTACCTGTACCCCCAGCTACTTGGGAGGCTGAGGCAGTAGGATTGCCTGAACCCAGGAGTTTGAGGCTGCAGTGAGCTATGATCATCCCACTGTACTCCAGTTTGGATGACAGAGTGAGACTCTGTCTCAAAAAATTAAAAAATAATAATAAGAAAAAAATAAGGCCAAAATGCTCAGGCAAAAAAGGTCACAATATCATTCCAAATTAGACATATTTAAGGGAGATGATTATCTCTGAAATTTTACTTATTTTAATTTGTTTAAAGACAAGAGGCTCATTTCTATAAATATAAAACTTTCATAAACATTTATATTTTTATTTAACAAACACTTCTTAGTGCTTATGATGTGCCAATGTTGTGAGTCACCACTAGCATCGCCTTATTTACTCCTCATCAGAACGTTACTAGATAGGTCTTATTTTCTCCATTTTACTGACAGGGGAACAGAGGCACGGAGAAGTTAAGTGACTTGTTCAAAGTCACACAGCTAGTAAGTGTGCACCAAAATTCAAACTCATAAATGAGAAATAGTTATTTTATACCCATGAACAAAGTGTAATCGAATACTATTTCCTGGAAGCCGCTCTCTTCTTTTAGAAGTAGCACTTTTTTGTTTCTCTTTGCATTGTTCTTTAAGCTGAGGTAGATCTTCTTTGTAAACCTTTAAAAAACGTATATAAGTAGACATATTCTTAGAACATATATTAATGAAGGTGTTCATTTACTCCTAACGTAACTTTCAGACATTGTGGTTACTGTTGATCAGCTTTAACAATTGCATTAAATGAGAAGGTACTTTATGAAATTTGCTTCCTTGGAAAGAACAAACTAATTCACATTTTCTATGTATCACAATGAAAAATACACATTTAGCATTATAGGGAATCTTTACATTTTATAAGAGAATATTTTTAAGGGAATAAATTTGAGTGCACTGTGACAAAAGTCTATAGGCAAACAATACAGGCATACTTAGTACATCAAGCATTTAATATAAGAGAACATTTCATACAATTGTGCTTTAACACTTAAAGGGGAAAACTGAAATAGTCATACATTGCTTGGGAAATTAAAGCCACTAAAGATAACAATAGGTGACTAACAGAGAGCAAGATAAAGAAGAAATTGGACTTTTCTGGGAAAAATCATGTGATAATAGAAAATTACCTGCCGACGGTAGGTGAGCTGTGTCTCTTGTTCAATTTCAGAATCCAGTTCTGGAACATCAGACAGATCTGAATCTGATTCATCACTATTGGAGTCAGCCAGACTTTCTGTAATTTTTAAAAATGAAACATTACTTGTTTAAGGAAGATTCATTTTCAAAATAGCACTGTAAAATTAATGATCAAGAGCTATGTGAACTGACATGTAGACAAGCCATAAAACAATCAGATGAAATTAGCTATTCAAATGACACAGATGTCAGTAAACTGTACTACGGATTGTCTTCCTCTACACTCACTGCAGACTCAGTAGCTCCTTTAAATCCCTTCACTGGTTCTCCAATGACTGCTACATCAAAGTTAAATGTCTGTGCAAATATAAGTGAATATAACCTACAATTAGCATGAAAATAGCTTAACCAGCCTGAGCAAGAGCGAGACCCTGTCTCTGCTAAAAATAGACAAATTAGTCCCAGCTACTGAGGAGGCTGAGGCAGGAGGATCACCTCAGCCCACGAGTTTGAGGTTGATGTGAGCTAGGCTGATGCCATGGCACTCTACTCAGGGCAATGGAGTGAGACTCTGTCTCAAAAAAAAAAAAAAAAAACCAGCTTAAAAGTACTATACACAATAGATGAGTTGACAATAGAGAATTTTTCTTTGTTAAAAAAAACACATATAAAACCTAGATACCCATCTCCCAGAGGATACACTGTTTTGTTTTGCTAATATAACTGTTCCTTCACTAATCGTTTGATAGATTAGTGCAACCAAAAGTACTCTGTATTCCACACTCTGTGACATTTGACTTTAAACATATAGACATAGTATTTTAATTTGAAATTTTCTGCTAATAATAAACCATACTGTTAACTTATGAAACCTGATTGTACTTCAATATAAAATTGTTATCTGGGGATATTGGCGAATTAACAGGGAGACTATATAGGCAGTGTGTATTACTCACCTTGAGGGGCTATGTGAAGAGCATCTTTTAGTTTTCTTTCAGGAATAAATTTCCACTGAAAGACAGAGTGATCTGCTCCACCAATAGAAATAACCCACTGATAATCATGTGACCATCTGACATTAGTTACATGAGCTGAATGGCCAATATATTTTCTAAACTTGGCCCCTATAACAAAAATATGTCTGTAAACTGATAAATGCCAACACACAAAAATACCATTTCAAATAACAATTTCTATGTATGAACCATTGTGTCATCCTATTATCTCAATTATGATCAAATGGAAAAATGCTGATTCAAAAGTTGATTGAATGGGAGTGGGGGGAGAAAAAAAAAGTTGATTGAATAAACGAATGAATCTATATCAAAGAATGCAAATATTTCCTCTACTGATTTACAATATAATTTGGTAGGAACCAAAGGGCTGTGAGGCATTATCTTACTGCTTTGAGAAAAGCCTGGGGATCAAGTGTTTTCATATTAAGACATTTTTTAATGTTTTGGCCTGAGGCCTTTGGTCTTAAGTGAAATTCAAAAGACCAGTCTACTCCACCCCTATCTGCACTATTCTCAACCCAAGCAGCCAGAGGATCCTTTTAAAACTTAAGACATCAACAATGGCAAACCAAATCCAGCAACACATAAAAAGGATTATATAACATAACTGAATTGGGTCAGGTGCGGTGGCTCACACCTGTAATCCTGGTACTTTGGGAGGCTGAGGTGGAAGGATCGCTTGAGCTCAGGCGTTCGAGACTAACTTGAGCAAGAGCAAGACCCCGTCTCTACTAAAAATCAAAAAGTCATCTGGGCGTGGTGGCACAGGCCTGTAGTCCCAGCTACTTGGGAGGCTGAGGCAGGAGGATCACTTGAGGCCAGGAGTTTGAAGTTGCAGTGAGCTATGATGATGCCACTGCTATCTACACTGAATGACATAGAGAGACCCTGTCTCCAAAAACCAAACCAAAACAAAGCAAAAAACCCATAACCAAATGGGATTTATGCCAGGAATGCAAGGTTGGTTCAACACGAAAAAGTCAATCAATGTAATATGCCATATTAATTGAAATCAAATATGCCCAGTTGTCCCAACCACATCCTTTATAGCTACTTTTTAAATCCAGGTATTTTGTAGAACATAGTTCACTTTGGGTTTGTCTGATGTCCCCTCAGGATAAGATTTAGGTGATGTGTTTTTAGCATAGGCAATGTTGTATCCTTTTGGATATATCACTTCAGAAAGCACCATTAGTTCTATCACTAGAGATGTTAACTTGTAACATTTGGCTAAGGTGGTATATACTTGATTTCTCTAATTATAAAGGAATTGTTTAACTTTGTAGTTAATTTTTTAAAAATCTGGGTGATGGCCAGGCACAATGGCTCATGCCTGTTATCCCAGCACCATGGGAGCCAAGGTAGGAGGATCACTTGGTCATCAATTAGACCAATATCTCAGAGAAAAGATTTATCAAGGCAAGCTGTAATGGTCATAGAAGCTTTCCTAATTTAAAAGAGGATGAAAATTCTTAGTGGAGATAAAGAAATATACTGAAATATTTATGTTTCAATGATCCCCTATCTTTTCTTTTTTTTTTTTTTTTTGAGACAGGGTCTTGTTCTGTTGCCCAGGCTAGAGCGCAGTGGTGCCATCATAGCTTACTGCAACCTCAAACTCCTGGACTCAAATGATCCTCCCACCTCAGCCTTCCAAGTAACTGGGATTACAGGTGCATGCCACGACACCTGGCTAATTTTTCAATTTTTTGTAGAGACAGGGTCTCACTCTTGCTCAGGCTGGTCTCAAACTCCTGGCCTCAAGCAATCATCCTGCCTCAGCCTCCCAAAGTGCTAGGATTACAGGTGTGAGTCACTGTGTCCAGCCTCTAATTTATTGTAATGTATATTTTCAGACAAAGCTAAAATGAGCTAAATATCTTCAATAAATTGTAGCAATATGACAAAAGACTTTTTTCCATTCAACTATGTTTTAATGACCTTAAAATTTCTAGATATGGGAATATATAAATATATGGGAATAGCTTTCTGATCCCAGTAAAATAAAGAATTTCTTAAGATGCAAAACGGCACTATCCATAAAAAAAGATAGATTTGACTACACTGAAATTAAGAACTCAACAAAAGACATCATTAGAAAATAAAAAGACAAGCCACAAACTGGGAAAAAACATTTGCAATCCATAAAAATTACAAAGCATTTGTATCACTGGAGTATATAAAATAACTCCAACAGGCCAATAAAATAAACAATTCAACAGAAAAACAGGAAGGAGATATGAACCTGTGTTTGATAAAAGAGGAAATGCAGAAGACCAAAGAATATTCGAAAAGATGGTCAACCTCATTAGTATTTAGACAAATGTAAACTAAGACCACAAGAGAGAGGTTACTTAATATTTTGAAAGAAAAGATACCTTTTCTTAAACATGGATATCGGAATAATTTTACAATTCCATAGTCATCAGCTGTAACTAAAACTTGGCCAATATAATTTCCATCTACTGAATTTATATCATTAATATCTGAATACTTGGGCCAAATTCCATTTACTTCAAGGCCTGAAACACATGTCCATGAAGCCCAATGAACACCTTTTATTTCTTCTGTACTTGTCACTTCTTTTCCTCCTAAAAATAAATGAGAGCCTTAATTTAAGAACTTACTTCATTTGATTTTCACTCAAGCTTAAATGGTACCGATAACATGGTAAATTTCAAAATTTTAAATATTTTCCCATCCCAGTTGAGAAGAATACATAAATAGGTAAGTAACTTCGAGTAAGGAGAAGAGAAAACTGAATGCAAGAATTTTTTTTTTAAAAGCCACTACCAAAATTGTGCTGATTTGGAGAAACACATAGACTTTAATAATTAACTTATTAGCAGGTTCACCTAGGTGGAAAATAAAACTGAATTCTATTAAAATCACCATATAGATTAGTTACAACAGGATTAGTTATAAGATAAAAACTGTAAGACAGGAAAATCAAGTATTAAAAAAGGAAACCTAAGATAAATAGTTCAGAAAAAAGAGAGAACTGAAAAAGACCAAGAAGAAAGAATGAGTGGGAGTAATATATTTATATTAGGTAAGAGGGCTTTAGGATTCAGTCAATCTTCATTACATACAGATTATTAATGAAAAACTTTTGGTGAGATGCATTAATTTCATTATGTAGCTGTTGTTATTAAATAAGTTCTTGGAAGACAGTGACTAATTCACTAAGCATCATAATAAAGTATTAAGAGGCAATAGCTTAATGATTCTTTTATTGTCTCTTTTTAAATCTTTAATTGGAACGTTGTTTTTCAAATTTAGGTTTGCTAGTTACGTTATTAATATTTGCAAAGTTTATTTGAGGTAACTGTAAAAAACCCAAATAATTTATGGTCACACATTTGTACCATTTATTTAATTAGTTTTATCCACAAAAATTGCATTTTGACTCTCTAATATACAGAGGGACTTTGTCATATACTGTGGTATGGAATTCAACAAAAAGTGAGTCTTAGATCCTCCAGGCAAAGGAGTTTTAATTAAGAACCAAGGGATTTAGAATGGTGTTTGCCAGAGACTGGGAGAGGTGGGGGTTAGCGGGTGGATACTGGTCAAAGGGTACAAAGTTTCAGTTATGCAGAATAAATAAGTCCTGGAGATCTAACGTACAGTATGTTGACTATGGTAAACAATACTGTACGGTATACTAGAAATTTACTAAGAGAATAGATCTTAAATGTTCTCATCACATGCAAAAAATGGTAACTATGTGAAGCGATAGATATGTTAATTACCTTGATTGTGGAAATCGTTTCAATTATATGTGTATCA